CTCTCTCTCTCCCTGGAAGGACGCATTCCTGTATACCCAATTCCAGAAAGCGTTAGGCGCTTGACAAGAGCCAAGGCTTGTAGGAGCCCAGAGAGTGCGTTGGGGGTACTGACTGGGGGAGGATTGTTGGCCGGAATAAATCCTTGCAATACTGGAAGAAATTCTGGAAGGAATGGAATGCGCACTGTCTCCCTGGGATCCGGTCGGTTTTTTTGCACAAGACTAACTTAGGCACAAGTCGGTGGCAAGAGTTACGAGAGCTTTTATTTATGAATCAAAATACATGCAATCTTGGGAGAAACAGATATAGCTATGAGTGTGGGCAGAGGGGAGGGGGGAGAAATAGGATCACAGTGTCTCTCAATTACTGCTGCCACCATCAATATGTGGAAGCAACTAATGGGTTTCAATAAAACCACTCGTTCCACAACCCAAATGCACGCCGCCCGCCAATTATAGACCATAAAATCCGGTTTTGCTTCACTTTAAAGCGACGGACACCATCCTCAAGGTTAGGAAACAAAACTGCAGGTTTGTCTATCGACCGACCACCACGGTCTCCCTTTCGCCCACATCTCCTTCCTCTCGGGTGGTTGATGAGGATTTTCTCTGTGTTTCTGATGAGCGCCCAGTGTCCATTCTCGAGCAGACCCGACAGTAGTAAATTGGATGGTATCGCCACTCTGTGTAACAGTTACCTACCTGTATTTTGGCGCATTCCTACACTGCCCAATGCAACACCCACCGTTGGTATCCGTGAGAGGTTATACAGTAATCCTACTCCCGAGACGTACAATTACCGTGGTAGCCAACTGCTGCATGGGTTCATCTCTGCCCTCTGCTCGTGTTTGCTGGGAGTGAAGACTGGTATACGAGCTTGGCTCAGTTGGTCACATTCTCACCTGCTTCTGGTGCTCTCAGTTCAGGCTGACCCTCCAGTGTAGGTACCGGGGTGTGTGTGTGTGTGTGTGGGCAGTGCCACTTTACCTGCAGTGCTATCCTTCGAAATGAGGCTTTTAAAACTGAGATCCTGCTTTAGGCGGACATTGTGAGTCCCACGGCGTCCTTTCTCCCAGTGTCCTGACTATCAATCCCCCGGGTTAAACTGCTCGTTCGTTTCGCTCGTACATTTGGTCTGCAAATTATACAGTCGATTCGCTTCACAGTGTATCCCGTGAAGCGCTTTGAAACGTCACGAAGGCGCGCTATCGAATGCGAGGATTATTATTCATCGCCTCACGGCGGTCCTTGTGACACTTGGGTGTGCAAAACACGTCACTGCGTTTGACAGCCATCACTACTGTGGGATGAGCTTTGATGTCGACCTTTTTTTGAAAAAAAGGGGGTCTATTCGCCTCCTCACACGCCTGAGATCGCCCGCTCGCTCTTAAAACACACAATTTCGCGACGATTGACGAGGAAGAGGTACTGGCCGAATTGTGATAAGTTACAACTGCAGTGACAGGGTTAACCGGATTTTGAGGAAGCAATCTAAGTGTGACACGTTACAGGCTGGAACGACGCAGATGTAATGGGGCGAGCCAACTGCCTGCAGTGACGACACCAGCCGATTTGGGTTGCGTTTCTCTACTGACCCGTGACTTGAAGCGGAGACACTAGTAAAGCACTCACCTGGACATCTCCCCCGCGATTACTTCCTCTTTCTTACTAATTCTTATTACTTATTCCTTACTCCGCGGGCCTCTTGTTTACCTAGCAGGAAGTAGGAACCCGGTGGTTAAGTCGATTTGCGGATCGCTTTTCCTGGGGTAATAATCCCTTCAAAATAAATAATAATTCGGTCACTTAATTCCCCCCCCCCCACCCCCCCGTGACGCTGCTGTGCGTAATTGGCTGCCGAGTTTCGCTCACAGAATATACAGTCAATTCACTTCGCGGTATATTCTGTGAAGCGCTTTGAAAACCGTCTCGAAGACGTGATAAGGCGCTCTATCAAAGGCAAGGATTATTATTATTATTACACTCCGCACATTCAAAAGCGAGATTCGGGCGAAGAAAGTTTAATCTCAACCTTGCAGAACACGCGCACTAATCTGCCCTCGCATCACGACATCAAGCTGTGTCTGAAAGGGTCCTGATATCCTGGCCTTAATCATGCTCGCTTGCAATCCGGTCATTAATTTCCCTGGATTGAGAAATACTTGCTGATTTCCATCCTGATGTTGCCCGTCACAACCCTGAACCTGTTAACCTCTTGTAATGTTGCATATCCAAAAGAGGTCACTTTCCGCCTCCAGGTCCCTGTGCAATTTTCCATCCTGTAAATTGCTTTGCAGAATTAACCGAAGGTTAACCTGAACACGTCTGTTCCAAAGTTTCTCTCCAAAATTTCCCTTCAGTTTCCACGAAAAGCCCACATTCAGTGTTGCGAGATCTAATGGCAACGTGCGGGACTAAACTGCACAAAACTGGCTTCAAAATAATAATAATAATAATAATCCTTGCATTTGACAAAAGGCCATGACCTGAATGAACATTTTTTCTCTAGTGGGGGTTAGTTGGCCAGGACACCTGGAAGAAACTCCCTTCTTTTTTTGTGAAATTATTCGGACCTGGATGAATAATTCCGAGGCTGGTGCTGAGTAAAGCTGGTACACACCATTAATCTTGGGACTTCTAGTACATCAAGACGGCTGGCACATCACAAGCTGCCCGGCCAGTAAAGATCCTCCCAACTCACTGAAGCCAGATGTCCACCAAATAGCCCGATGAGGAACGTTCTTGAGGTTTGGGACAACAGCTGGTGGAAGCCTTTGCTGTACCTGGAGTGAACCCTCAACTCATGGATCCAGGGCTTGGCATTCACCTTGACCGGTACGCAGAGATCTATTACCCAGAGCTGCCTCAAGCTCCACACCACCAAACGTTTGATGGATGGGTTGAGATGTGTGTCAGAGCTCTGGCCAGGAAGGTGGTGGCACACCATAAGCTGCCCTAGAAGGATTCCATTCCAACAGTCCACCTCGCGCGTGTAGGCGGGATGCACGGAATTCTCAAAGTTTGGTTTGGTGACTCTTTATAAGCCTGGTGGTGATGTGTTTCTGCATGAGTCAAAGACACATTTTGCCTGAAACCCCACCCCCACCGCTCCAAAAATGGTGGCAATGCTCTCACCCATTTCAGGCTGAGCTGTGTTGCGCACCAGGAAGCTGGCAGAGAATTCCGGTAGCAGTACATGCCAACCATCTAGTGAGGGCTCAAAGCTTGAAAGGGGGGAGAAAGGAGGAGATAAGTAGTCTTCTTGGAGCTGAATCCGAGGTGATATGGTCACTTCCTCCCTCCCCCAGGCTCCTCCACTGTTAAACGCTCTGAGACTCTGCCTGGGGTGAAGGCCCCTATAAACGTGAGATGTTATTGGGAGTGGAATCCACCCTCTGCGGTAGTCCAGTTCCTGAGTCAGACGAGGTTCAGTCCTCCAGGGCACTGCTGATGGAACTGACCAATTCCTTCACCGTACAAAAAAAATCGATCAGGTGTCAGATATATACACACAACGTGTGAAACAAAAATCTCCTTTGAAACGAGCACGACTGGCTCGGCCTACACCCACGTCACTGTGCAGCGGTCAGAGACGCTCTCCTGGGTGAAGGGCGAAGGGTGAAGGGCGCTGTGTGAATTAAAAGCTGTTGTTGGGGCTCGTGGAATAGGCTGCGGAGACGAGAGAACTGAAATGGGTTCAAAGCTGAATCAATCAACTGGGTTTCTGTGGTGAGACCAGGAGGAGGGCAGAGTTCTATATATACACACATGTACATGTACGACATATATCTATCTATATATAAAGGCTGACTTGCTGCTTTTTTCCTGAAGATTGTCATGTTGTGGTAACCATTTTCAGAAATGTGTTAGTGTGAACCGTTGGGCTCGACAGGTGCAGAGCTTTGACAATGGCACCTGTGTTGTGGGTTTTATTTTTGGGGTCGATGTTGTGAAGCCTTTTCCTACGCTTCCGAGGGCGATGTTAAAACGTCCAGAGGGTGCGAGTCCGCTCTGAACCGGGAGCGGGCGAGCGGACTGCGGAGTTACCACTGCCCGGAGGAGACGAATTTGAATCCGAATTTCAAGCTGTAGAGTTCTGTGGTCACTTGTGGTGGTGGGGTGGGGGGGGGAGATGTTTTCTTCCCATTCTGCCTTTTTCTTGCATTATATACAGAACCTTTTCACGTCGTCGAGACGTCTCAAAGTGTTTCACAGGATATAATGTAAAGTAAGTGGATCGACTGAGGGCGAACACGGGAACCAGTTGCCCACGGCAGTGTCCCACAAATAGTCGTGGAGTGAGCGACCAATTTTATTTGGAGGATTGTTTCCCAGGCCTCGACAGAGCCACGGGACCTTTAACTTCCCGGGTGTAACTTTTTCATCCGAGGGCCAGATCTTTGCTTCTCCGTTGGACATGCGTGCGACACACAAAGACATTTCTACTGACCTGTTGGGTTGCGTCGTTGCCTTGAAGGCGACGTCAGATGCTTCACACTCTTTGAATGCGTCTCTGTTGGACAGGTTCGAGTTCGGTGACTGGACACGCGGCGCAGTGGGATCATTTTAAAAGAAAGCGAGACGTGCGACAGATGTGTGGCCGGAACAGATCAGGGTGACAGCAACCAATGTGGTCTCCCGTCAGCGTTGGCTCAGCACGCACAACAGATTCACTTAGCATCAGACCCACTTAGTTCGACACGTGCACAAGGTTATTATGGGCAGTGAAGGACTTCATCAACACAAGCAACAACAAATTGCATTTGTATAGGTGGAGGGAGGAAAGGGGGAGAGGTGGAGAGACTGTGGGATGGAGTTCCAGAGGGTGCGGACGGAGAGGCTGAGTTAAGAATCATTCTGATAACGGCCGTGGTGGCTAGGTATTGAAACAGACAAAAAAAAAACAGCATGCGAAGGGGAGAGAGAGGGGAACATAAGGAACAGGAGTAGACCTTTCTGCTCTTCGAGCCTGTTCCGCCATGCTATTCGATCATGGCTGATCTGTACCTCAACTCCAATTAACTGCCTTCGACCCGTATCCCTTGATATCGATAAAACATTCATACATGATCCTGAGTGAGAAGGAGGCAGACAAAAAAGCACTGAGACAGAGCGAGAGGAGAAAAACATTGAGAGAGCGAGAGTGTGTGTGTGAGAGAGAGAGAGAAGAAACTAGAGCGATCGAGAGAACGCAGAAACCAGGGAAACACAGAGAAACGGAGGGAGACAACACCAACGAGGTAAAGAACGGCAGCACTAAAACCCGCCATTGCAAGCATCCTCCCTTTCTTCTGCCCGACCGACTGGAGATTGCTGTGTTGACGTTCCCCTATCATTATAACCGATTTCAAATGGTGCTAGATAAGTGTGTAGCCTCTGAACACCAAGAGAAATCAGTCATCCTCTAAGGGGGGGTTGGGGTGGGGGGAGTAAGTGGTCCATCCAGATGATAGCCGGTCAAGCCTCATTAGTCTCCGGTTATTCGGGATTGGGTGTAGCCTCGACCCACATCTCAGCCTTTGGTTGAAATGCTAATACACGACCATTGATTCATTCGGTTAAATAAAAGCATGGCAAATACATCCTGCTGGGATCTGCAGTTTTCTTTCACGTAGTGCCCGGGCCACCAGCCCTCCCCCCACCATCCCCCCCACTCCCGCAGGGTATAGTCCCGGAGCCCTCGACAGTGGCTGAGCACGAGGCAGAGCCGGAGGGAGAGGGAGAGGTGACCGGTACAGGCACGGTAGAAAGAGACGTTATTTCTGTTGCTGCGAATAATGTCACCCAACGCGAGTGGGACAGAGCAGCAACAGAACAACAACAACAACGACGACGACGACAACAAAAGGCCAGGTACACAAAACATACTCGGTCCCTCCTTCGCCCAGGTGTGCAAGGGACAGGTCAAACTACGTACGCTAAGGGTACAAGAACATTTACTGAACGACGACGACAACTTGCGTTTAGGCGGTGCTCCCCCACTGCAGGGGTAGCGCCCCAGAGCGCTGGACAGTGGGCGGGAGCGAGGCGGAGGGATCGAGGGAGAGTGTTCCAGAGGTTCGGGGTGTAGGCGCGGCGGCCACCGATGGCGGGACGCGGGGCGCGAGGGGCAAGCAGGAGGCCGGAGCCAGTCGAGCGGAGGCAGCGGGGTGGTGGAGTCGGGAGAAAGCAGGGTCGAGGAGAGGTTGGGGCGTGAAAGGGATTTGAAGGCAACGTTTTCGAGGAGCTTGAAATAAACACCGAATTCTTTAATCCCCGCAAAAGAACTGATTCACCCCCTCCCTCCCCCCCCCCCCCCCCCCGACTTGGGGGCTGAGCGTGAGTGCGTGTGCGCGCGGAGGGGCTGCATGTGCAAATCAACTCTATTTACAGATCAGCCGTACGGGAAGTGGAATTTTAAAAAAATAACTTGAAACCTCTGCGGTCTCACCCTCCGGGGTAAATTTATGACCCCCGTGGGATCTGTGAGAGCAGTTGTGTGTCATCAGCAAGTTATGGGGGGGTTGGGTGGGGGGGGGGGAAACAGTCAAGGGTAAAAAGTCAAATGGAAACCCTTGAATGTAGTTGCAACAGAGGAACTGACTCGGGAACCAGACGTGCAAAGCAAAAGGACGAAAGCAAAGAATAAAGACGTTAAAAAAACTCGGGTCACTCGGCTCTTAAAATAACAGTAACGATACCCGGTGTATTTTAAGGTCGGCTTTTCGTGTATCGATTCAGCAGCTCGACGGGCCGAAGGAACCTCTTCGTTCAAAACTAATCTCGAGATCTTTCTGCCCCCGCCCTCGGCCAACTCCGTCCCAGACCGGAGCTCCCTGGACCTCGCCCTTCAAGGCCCGTCTCAAGTCCTTCCTCGTCGACTGTGCCTTCGGGTCATCTTCCCACCTCTACCCCACCTTGCCCTCCACCCCTCTCGACTCCAACCCCATTGACAGGTAAATTTCACCCCCTCCACAAAAAACAAATTCTACGACCACTGCGAAATAACCGATTCGCCCCACTGACGTGTGTGTGTGTGTGGCGTGTGGCGTGTGTGTGTGGCGAGGTGTGTGTCGTGCGATGCTTGTGTGGTGTGTGGTGTGTGAGGTGTGTGTGTGTGTGCGCGATGTGGTGTGTGAGGTGTGTGCGTGCGTGTGATGTGGTGTGTTCGGCATGTGTGTGATGTGGCGTGTAATGTGGTGTGTGAGGTGTGTGTGATGTGGTGTGTGTGTGTGTGTGTGAGATACGTGAGGTGCGTGGTTTGTGTGTGGGATGTGTGCGTGGTTGTGTGAGGTGTGTGACGGGGTTGTGTGTGTGTGTGTGTGTGTGCAGTGTGCTAGGGTGTGTGCGGCGCGCGTGTGCATGTGTGGGTGTTGCATTGCAAATCAACTTCAACAACAACAACACCTCGGGGTTTGGGGCTCAACAAAATACCATAAACATGGACCTGACGTCTCATTGCTCTCGGTTTCCAGGACCGCGGTGATGAAGTTGTTTCTTGGTCCCGGCAGTGAGCTGACAGTCTTTCTCCAAGAACACTGATTTCAAATGGTGCTAGACACAGCTGAGTTACATCTAAACCACCATAGGAAACCAGCTCCTTGGAGAAGTTGTGAAGACTTCTTCGACTTTGCTTCGGGGTAAACAGGTGCGCTGGTACACGCTCCTTCACAGACAGACAGACAGACAGACAGAGAGATAGACAGATAGACAGAGAGACAGACAGACATACAGAGATTCAGACACACTCCTTCGCAGATAGACAGAGAGATAGACAGACACACTTCTTCACAGACAGATAGACAGTCAGACTCACTCCCTCACAGACGGACAGAGAGGCAGAGAGAGGCAAAGAGACCGACAGACACACACCTTCACGGACAGACAGAGAGAGAGAGAGAGACGCACACCTCCACAGGCAGACGCACTCGTTGACAGCCAGATACACACACGCACACACACAATCTGATCCAAGGCAAACGGGGCCCTCACACGCACTCATTCACAGACGGGCAGACACACACGCACGCACAGACAACCTGATTCAAAGTAATAGAAACAGTTGCACTCATTCACACACACACACACACACACACAGATGGACTATCTGATCGAAGGCAAAAGATGCACTCGTACACACTCGCACACACCTATATGATCCAATAAAGAGTGCACACTGCTCCGAGATGTGGGTGGGGGGGGGAAGAGTAGACACGAGGAACAGTGCACGCCCACTACTCAACGCTGCACTCAAAGAGTGCTTGGCTACTGCGAGGAGTAGCTGGTGAAGATTGCCTGTGTCCCGCTGTAATCTACAGACAAAAAAAAAAGGCATTAAATACAATTAAAGGTCGCACGAGAAAAAAAAACTTCCAATGCGTAAGCCCTGAGAGAAACATCAACGACCACAACAACTTGCATTGATATATATATATACACACGTATATAATAATCCTTGCATTTGATACAGCGCTTTTCACGTCTTCGAGACGTCTCAAAGCGCTTCACAGAATATACTGTAAAGTGAATTGACTGTGTATTTGTGGGCGAAATGCGGCAGCCGATTGCGCACAGCAGCGTCCCCCACAAACAGCCGTGGATTGAAGTGACCAATTTTATTATTGTTCTTTTTCTTGCGGGATTATTATCAGGCGTAGTGGACTAAGGAAACTTGCCCAAGGTTTTCGCCCCGTCGGGAATCGAATCCGGGTCTCTCGCTTGCGAAGCGAGTGCTCTAACCACTGAGCTGCAGGACTCCACTTGTACGCCACGTAGGGTAGCGTTCCGGAGCGCTTATCGAGGAACATCGATTAGGAACAGATCTGCCGGAAGGAGTTCTGCACCACAGGCAGAAAGTTACTTCAGTGACTTGTGAAGCGAAACGCGGTTCCTCTCTCCTCCCCTCCACCACCCCGGCCTCCTGGCCAACAATCCCAACAAAGAAAGGTGGTTGTTCTGCTTCACGGCTGTTTGTGGGGCCATTTGCCACGTGCTCAACCGGCTGCCGCGTTTCGCCCACAAAATTCACGTTACAGTATATTCCGTGAAGGGCTCTGAGACGTCTCGAAGACGCGATAAGGCGCTGTATCAAATGCAACAGTTATTCAGCTCTCGTCTCCGTTCCTCTGGCTCCGGTCTACTCCACATCCCCCGCCCTAACCGCCCTACCATCGGTGGCCTTCAGCCTCTCAGCCCCGAGGCTCTGGAACTCCATCCCCCAGTGCCTTCGCCGCTTCCTCCCTTTCCTCCTTCAAGGCCGGTCTCAAGACCTTTCTCTTCGACCGTGCCTTCAACTCCCCTCTCGACTCTCTACCCCCTCCTCGTTCCCTCCCTTCCCTCCCCTCACACTGACCATTTCCCTCCAAGGCTCGGGTCCCGACCCAACTGTGCAGCGCCTTGGGACGTCCTCCCGACGTGAAAGGCGCTCTATAAATGAAATCTTGTTGTTGTTATTGTCTCCCCGCCTTTCATTCCTTTTCCCCCTCTGTGCAGGTATCAAATTCAACCGTTTGTGGGACATTGCTGTGTTCGTACTGGATGCTGCGTTGACCCACAAGAAGTCAATTTACCCACCACTTTACAGTCTATCCCATGAATCGCTTTGAAACGCTGACAGTAACCTGGACGCGACGAGGCAGAAAGGACATAAGTGATTTTTTTTCTCTTGGTGGGGGAGGTGAGATTTTTACCGAACATCAAATTATATTTGTTGTGTACATCAGTCATTGAATCCTAACAGGAGAGCCTCAAAAAAGGGTCAAGGAAAGGTGTGACATGAACAGGCTGCAGCGATCAGCTCCATTCACAACGTTCCTTGACACCTGCGATGCCCACAGCATTGTGGTTCTCGGGCAATGGTCTTAAGGCTAAGACACGTCTCAAAGCGCTCCACGGAATATACTGTAAAGCGAATCGACTGTGCGTTTCGTGGGCGAAACGCGGCCGCCAATCGCGCACAGCGGCGTCCCCCACAAATGGCCGTGGATTGAGCGACCAGATTATTTATCATGTTATTTATTTGGGAGGGATTATTAACCCAGGGTGCCCTGAGCTGCCACTTTCTCTCAACCCTGATCTTGAGATCCGAGACAGGCTGCAACAATTCATGGCCTTACACGTGGCCAAACCGCTCTGCGTAAATGAAAGGCTAACCATTTATTGTTGGCAGTCAAAAAAAAATACGTATACTCCTGAGCGAGGAACGGATTGGGGGGAGTATGGGGGGGGTGGGCGGGGGTGAGGTGTGTGTCTCTCCCAATAAATAGTCAGGATTTGAGGGACCACATTTTTCGAAAGGGATTATTATAATCACCCGGAAAAGCGATCCGCCAATCGACCAACGAGCGGGTTCCTACTTACTGCTGGGTGTGGAGTAGGGGAAACTTGCTTAGGGTTTCGCCCCCACCCGGGAATCGAACGCGCTTGCGAGACGCTCTGATCAATACGCTAACAATGATTTGCATTTCTAGTTGGAGCGTCTCCAACAGCCGAGTGGGGTTTGACACTGTTAGGAATTATAAACCACTCCCACCCCCCCCGCACACACACACACTTTGTGTTGACAAGTGATCAAATACGTTCACCGTCCTTCCTCAAGAATGTTCAACTGTGAAAAACAACACAAAAACAAGCCACAAGGTTGCCTCCGTATGGCAAAATTCGGCCGCTTTACGGTCAGTAATCCTTCCGAGAGCACTTTCCTCGCGCTGGATTTTTTAAAAAAAAAAATTCCGTGTCGCAGTTCAAGTGACCTTTCTAAAAATGACCTGCCCTTATTTTTTTTAATTAACTAAAAAAAATCTGGTTGGTTTTAACGCATCCTCGAGAAAACATTTGACTTTACCTCAAGGGAAGAACTGGGTGCTCGATCATTTCACTGGCAGCCTTCGTCGAGCAGATCCCCAAAAGACAGCAGGAGAGAAAATGGGGTTCAAAACTTCCATTCCGGGGTCGCGGTGGTTAGGGAGGAGAAGGAAGAGGTTCGAGGGATCTCTGCCCGATGCCAAGGCACTTGCGGGCAATCTTAAGGTGTTTTTTTTTCTCTCTCTCTCTCTCTCTCTCTCTCTCCGGTTTGTTTCAAGAAACAGATCAGACGAAGCTGCAGGCAAGGCTTGGTCGATCTGCCATTCACACCTCGTCCCCGGATTATCTATGAGTCAGGTGCGTGGCTCCAATTGGGGAGGATACGGAATGCTAAGGTACCTACGCGGCTTAAACCGCAACCTGCGCCCCCGTATTACAGAGAAAGAGTCAGGTCACAGGCTCTGGCAAAAGAAATGTGCCGTGTTTGCCAGCTGCAAGCAACTCTTGAAGCGGGTCCAATGTGTCATTTATCGGTGATTCGCGCTGTCTCTCTCTTGCCACTGAGTCAGCAGGTTGTTGGGTTCAAGCCCCCCCCCCCACGCCAGGACTCGGAATCCATATATAGTCTAAGCTGACCCTCCGATGCCACGTCAGAGCTGCCGACCTTTGGGTGAGATGTTAATCCGAGGTCCTGTCTGCCTGTTCAGGTGGATGTCAAAGATCCTATGGCACTGTTTGAAAAGAGAGGAGAGTTTCTCTTGGTGTCAACAACAACAACTTGTATTTACATAGCGCACCCTCAGTGTCCCAGAGCGCACGTCCTTACCAACAACCCACCCAAATGAAACCACAATATAAATTTACATTTATCTCTTTTTATAGCCTTTCCCGTCGGGAGGAGGTCCCAAGATCTTGGACGATCTGAGGTTTGCACCCGGGCCGGGCGTGGGGACTGAGGGAGGGGAGGGGACCGATGGTGCGGCCGAAGAGGAAAGTGCTCAGGTGTGATTTGTAGATGGGCCGAGAGATGGGGCAAGATGGAGGGATTGAGGCAAGGAGGTCCAGAGATTCAGAGCACAGTGGCTGACAGCACAGCTGCTAATGGTGGAGCGGAAGGGGACATGCGGTTGACCCGAGCCAGCTGAGCGAAGATGGTGGGTCGAGGTGTGGGGTGTGAGCAGATCGGAGATGAAGGGAAATGCTAGGGCCTGAATTGATTTGAAAGCGAGAGGGAGGATTTTTAAATCAATTCATCCTACATCAGGGAGCCAGTGAGTTCAAGCAGAGAAAAGCAAGTGGAGACAAGAGATGAATAACAACAATAAAATAATAATTCTTGTATTTTATATAGTTTTTTAAGTGATTATTTACCCTGGAAAGCGATTCCCCCAATCGACTAACAACTGGGTTCTTACTCACTGCTGGGTAAACAGAGGCGTGTGGAGTAAGGAAACTTGACTAAGGTTCTGCTCCACTCGGGAATCGAACCTGGGTCCTCTCGCTTGCGAATGAACCAACCACCTGCGCCCCCCACCCCCGTCCTGCACACACTTTATTTTGGCAAACGAAGCAGCGAGCAACTAATCCCGAAATTGTCCTAGCCTGAGCGCGTGGGGCAGTGTGTCCGTCCATCGCCAGGAGGCTCGGATCCCATCAACAGCGAAAAGAGACGCACATACACGTTTTAACACTGGAGGCTCAGGTGTTGCAAATCAGAACTGAACTCTTCGCAAACAGTTGGCGCAAACTTTGCAGTCAATACATTACGAGTCATTCTACACGTGTACGTGAGAGGGTCTGAGACAAAGAGCGTGTCTGCGCGCGCGTTTGTCTGTGTGCGTGTTTGTGTCTGTGTGTGTGCCTATGGGTTTTCGTTTGTGAGAATGAGTGTGAGCGAGTTTATATGTGCGTGCGTGCGTGTGCGTGAGAGAGAGAGAATATAAAGGTTGGCCACAGGTTTTTTTTTCCTTAAAAAAATCCCACAGGAAGAAAAGCTATTTTAGAATCATTCACTGCCAAAGCATGTCCTTAGTTTATTAGGTTACTGCACAGGATGGCTGTCTTCACCACCAGGGTCCTGGCTGATTTTCAGCCGCGATCCCATGTTATAATTAATAAATAAATGACAGTAATCCCTGCATTTGACACAGCGCCTTATCACGTCGTTCGAGACGTCGCAAAGCGCCTTCGCAGGATACACCGTGAAGTGGAGTGACTTGTGTGTTTGCGGGCGCAACGCGGCAGCGTTAATTGCGCGTGTTAACAACGACGACTTGAGTCGACACGGGGCCCTTCACGCTGGATGGCGCCTCGAGGTATATTAACGCGCAAACGCAAGAACATTCGAAAGGACGCACGATCTGACCGGGTGCTATTTTGGGTCACTCCCACTGCCTGCGCGGAGATGGAAAACAACAAATAAAAACACGGCCAAGCACAGGAGGAATATTTTAAACAAACAGAAAAGTATTCCTTCTGGCCTGGAAGCAGTTACTTGGGAAGTTTTTTTATGTTGTTTTCTTGCAGACGCTCTCTCTCTCTCCTCTCTCTCTCCTCTTTTTATTTTGCCTTCCAGACTGTTACGTTGAGCCAAAATTATCGCAGAAGTGGCGCAAGATCAGAAGAACATAAGAATTTGCTAGATGAAAGAAGACTAAGGTTCATCTAGTGCTCTCAACTGAGCCGCACATGTGCCTCACAATAATTCAGTGGAAAGAAAATACGCAGCTCATCTATTTACAATATATTCTTCGAAATGTCTCAATGACTTAGTAAAGTGCGATACCAAAGGCAAGGATTATTATCGTCATTGCCGGAGTAGAGCTGGTAAATAACTTGCTCCTTTTTTTGTGGACAAGTCCCGATTAAAGGGAACAACACGATCTTAAAAGTTGGAAGGAAATATTAAAAAGCGCGAAGAGTAGAAAAAGACACGTCTCCATCTAAAGAGTTGCGGCAACGTGGAACGTACTGGTTTATGAGTATTTGCTAAGCGGCTAAAAGGGAGAGAGAATTAACACCGTACAGAAAGATATTGGACAATGGGGAAATTAAGTGAGATATGAGAAAAAAAATGGAAGAGCTGTCGTTGTCTAATAGAATGGCAGGACAGGCTCGATGGCCTGAATAGGTTCCTCTCGATCCTGCTTCTTTAGTCCCTCTGTACCAGAGGGTTTTCGTGACAATAGTTAGCTCTCACTCAATAAAGCAAAAGAAAAACCCAACCTCACAGAATCACGTAAATTCACAGCATCAACAACTTGCACTTTAATAGCGCCCTTCAAGAGGGGCAGTGCCTCGGAGGATTTCTTTCCCCACCCCCCAACCCCTACCTGGGTCTGAGTGAAAAATCCCCTCAAAGAATAATAATAAGTAAATGAACTGGTCACTCAATCCACGACTTGTTTGTGGTGGGCACCCCTTGCTGCGTGCGCTCGGCGACCAACGTTCCGCCCACGAAACACGCAAGTCAATCCACTTTACGGCGCGCTCCGCCGAACGCCACTCAGGAGACGTCCTTCCCGAGCCGAAAGGCGCTGGACGGATGTGATTTGCTGCTGTCGCTGCCGCGGCTAAGAGAAGGCGAAGGAGGAGAAGGGGAAAAAAAAAATAAAAATAAAAAAAAAATAAGATCCTGGGGAGGAAGTAGTGTTACAATCGGAATGATTAATAACAACCTGGCCTGGAGCCCTGGATTTACTGGAATTTAGTCTGGTCTTGTTCCTCCTGGTTTCCATTCACGTTGCAAACACAATGCCATTCTCTATCCAGCCACATTATCTGCATTTAATCAGCTTCCACCCTCCCCCTCCCCACCACCCCTGCTGCCCGCCCGCCCCCACGCCCCAAAAGGGAGTTCCGACATGTTATTGAGACGGTTACTCATCCTTTTGTTTTTCTTTAATAGGGCTAAAAATGAAGCTTTGTGATTTTACCCGTCGCCCAGGCTCGTTTGTTCGACGTCCGATTTTGTTGTTGTTGTTGTTGTTGTTGTCTGAGCGCTTTGACTTCACCTAAAGGCATATGTTGAGCTCGTTTTCTCGACGACGCCGGGGCTGAAAGGCTAATATTAATAACACTAATACTAATAATCCTTGCATTTGATGCAGCGCCTCGTCACGTCTTCGAGACGTCTCAAAGGCGCTTCACGGAATTATACACGTCAAGTGTAGTGACTGTGAATTTTGTGGGCGGCAGGTTATCGTGACCAGCCACCGTGGGGACTTGTTTAAATACCGCGACTCACTCGATGCCGATTAGCGTCCTGCGAATGCTGGTTTTAATCGCTCTTTTCTCCTGTCTGCAAACGACTTAAACCCGTCAGGGATATTGTTTCGCTGCATTTAAAGAGGCATCGGTGATGGCGGCTTCACCCCTGTCGTGATAATAATTATTATAACAATCCTCGCATTTGATACGACGCCTTATCACATCGTTACAGGTCTACGAGGTTGGGAGTAACAGGAAGTCAATGGCTCCCTAACCCCTCTCCCCTAACGGAAAGCTGCTTACCATCTCCGGAGACTGACAAGCCGGTGAGTTGAATGCTTCACGCACAGCGCAGCCATCTTCCTCCCATCGCTGCTGCACAACAACTGGCTCAGAGGTCAGTCCGGCTGGAAAAGGAGGAAGACATTTGTCAGCCCTCGGATGAGAAGGTGCTTCGGGCAAATCGTCCTCGACCCACAGAACCACAGAAATCGATACTGGTGTGAGCCCATTCGTCCCATTACAAAAATAATAACCTTTGTCAAGACGTTTCAGAGCGGTTCACAGGATGTACCGTAAAGTGGCGTAACTGTATTTTGTGGGCAGAGGCAGCATCCAATTTGCAATGTCCCATAAACAACCACAGAGTGAGTCAATGAACAATTTTTTTTTTGGGGTGGGTGGGTGGTGGGTGTGGGGCGACGGGGATTGTTGGCCAGGACACCGGGAGAAACTCCCTTCTCTTTTCACGGGATCTTTTCAACGTCCTCCTGAACAGGCAGACGGGGGGTTCGGTTTAATATCACATCCGAAGTTACTTACGCTATATTAAATGTTATCATTGCTAAGGATATCATTGCTGACGACTTTTTTCTGTGTGTAAGTTATCTGCAGTCACCAATTGCAACGCCAACATTTTGACGAGTACTTTTCCATTGCAGACATTATTTTTTTAATGTAAACTCCGGACAGACATTAGGGGGAGGGGGGGAAAAGAAACGTTCTGCTGCCCATCCCAGTGAGCTGGCAGATTGAGTAACTTTCCACTATTAGATTTTTACTAGGATGTTATTTTGTCAATGTATGATTGAACCCAGATGGGCTGCTGAAATAAATGAGGCACATCGTACAAAACTGACTATTGCATAACAGCTTTCGTAACATTTTTAGGCCTGTGTTGGGATTTTGTTTCCCATCGATTGAGAAATCCAATAGGTTGGGAAGACTTTAAGTCCAATGACACAGCATTGTCTTATTAAACCCTCACTCGATGCTGATTTCTGCGGTCAGGACTCGCTCACAATACACACAGTCACCGCACTTTACAGTATATTCTGTGAAGCGCTTTGAGACGTCGCAACAACGTGATAAGGCGCTGTATTAAATACAAGCATATCAAATCATATTATATCAAAAGCAAGGATTATTATTAATATTATTATATCAAATGCAAGGATGATGTTTATTATTATTATTATAGCCCAACATTCACTTCATTTGTTTCTTCGATGGTGCCATTTCCACTTGGATACCGATTGAGGTTTATATACAAGACTAAAATAAACACACGGCTTGGTAGGATAACACTGGAATTGCCATCGTAATAACTTGCATTGATGAGTTGCATTCAACGAGAAATTGTCTCGTAATGCTTCACAGGTAATTACTGCCAAGTGCAGTGACCGCGTATTTTGTAGACCAACGCGGTAGCGTCCCCACAAACAGCCGTGGATTGAATGACCAAATTATTATTATTTTTTGAAGGGAATATTACCCTCGATCGACTCACAACTGGGTTCCTACTAACTGCTAGGTAAACAGAAGCATGTGGAGTTGGGAAGCTTGCCTAAGGTTTCGCCTGTCCGGGAATCGAACGGCCTCCTCCTGTGTTATAAGATTCTTTAATCAGGCTGAGAGCAAAGAAAGATATGATCAAAGAACAAAACGTTCCTGGTGGCACTTGATCTGCTGCGTATTTCCTTCACAATGGGCTGCCAACATTTTGACCTGCCTTTCATTCTTTGCAATGACGCAGATTATTTCAGCATTGTTTGAGGCCGCTGAGCAGACCTGGACTGTAGCAGGGTTGCGCCCACTTCACTTGTTTATTCCATCATACATACAATCATTCATTCATTGACCGTGCACAACAAATCTGCATTTGTTTACTCACCGATTGGATCGGTTAAAAAGTTGTCCATTTCACTGTATGCCAATTGCTGGGTTGATTTCACCCAAGGGCACGGTTGAAGAGGAAAGTTTTTAGCTGTGATTTGAAGATGGGGAGAGAAAGGGGGCATGACGGAGGGATTGAGGCAGGAAGTTGCAGGAAATTCGGGGCGTATTGTGGAGTCCTGTAGCTCAGTGGTTAGAGCACTCGCCTCGAAAGCGAAGTGACCTGGGTTCAACTCCCGGCCTCGGCAAAATGTTGAGCAAGTTTCCTTACTCCACACGCCTTGTTTAACTAGCAGTAAGCCGGAACCCGGTTGTTTGTTGATTGGTGGATTGCTTTTCTGGGGATAATAATCCCTTCAAAGAAAAAAAGTAATAATTTGGTCACTCAATCCACGCGTGTTTGCGGGACGCTCCTGCCTGTGCGCAATTGGCTGCCGCGTTTCAACCAACAAAAGACACAGTATAGGCTTTGGGATGTCTCGAAGGCGTGTTGAGGCGGTATATCAAATGCAAGGCATTACTATTCCCATCTAATATCGTTCCTCAAGTACCTATCCATAACTTGCTGTCAACCTCTAGACTTGCCAGTGTATAAGGTTCAGTGGCTCTAGAGAGAGTTTATGGTAATGGATGCACATATTCAGCAGTGTATATTTGCCTAGTCAGGAATAAGTAGTTAGGTTTGAAACTTCTATTTGATTGTAACCGACAATGGTACAACACTCCATATTATTCTGTGTCCAAAACTCACATCGAAAGAAACAATACTGCAGCGCAGAGCATAAAATAAACCGGCCTGATTTATTCTGGACGTGTTACTGACAGCAAACGCAATCACAGCGGATCGATGCTCTGGGTGCTTTTGTTAGAGACTTTATTCATGCGTGATTCAGCACACAAGAGGATTTATTTTAACTCCAGATTTAGTTCCATTCCCACAACAAAGATTAAATGTTTTTTTTAAAAAACAAAAAAGTCCCTTTACAAAAACCTAGCGCATCTAGTGACCTTCCTTCTCTCACTGTGTTTCAATCCAAAATGACAGCAGGTGATGCAGTGATCTCTAACAATGTTCCTTAAATAATAATGATAATAGTGATAATCCTTGCATTTGACAGAGCACCTCTCACACCAGGAGGACGTCTCAAAGGGCTTCACAGGAATTGCAGGAGTTTCGCCCACAAAATACGCAGTAAATTCACTTTACAGTACATTCTGTGAAGAGGCTTTGAGACGTCTCGAAGACGTGATAAGGCGCTGTATCAAATGCAAGGGTTATTATTATTACTACTACTGCAGTCGAAAGCTGCAGCCAATATGTGCAAAGCAATGTCCCACAAACGGCCATGAAATGGATGTCCAATTTCATCCGGGGATTATTGGCTAAGTCACCGGGAGAGAGAAACTTCCTTCCCAAATTTTGCCAAGGGATTTTTAGCGGCCATCTCATCTCTTCCGAAGTATGGCACCTCCTTATGATGAGGGGCTGCCTCCAGCCATGTATTGGGAGCAACAGAGCAGACTGAGTTCAATGTGCCAACGTGGGACGTTGCACCCACCTTGACCCTGAACAACCTTCAATCTTGAGAGACGAGAGCGCTCACAACTGAGCCAGGCTGATAGCCTAATAAGGAAAACCAGAATTTTGGCATTTCTCGTGGGAACGAGTGACAATCCAAGAAATGTTTCCTACAAGTCGACACATCTGGATACCAAACTGGCCTTGCTGTAATACGCACTGAGCCAGACAGGCTACAACTAACCACACTCATACAACAAGTATGGGAGCACTAGCAATAATAATAATAATACTTGCTTGCGGTAATAGCGCCTTATCATGTCGGACAATCATCTCAAAGCACTTCACGGGATTTACACTGAAATGAAGTGACTTGTAGGCAAAAGCGCGCAGCAGTGTCCCACAAACAGCCATGAAACGAGTGAGTGACCAATTTTATTTGGTGGGGCATTGCTGGCCAGGGAGAGAGAAACTCCCTTCTCACTCTCTCTCTTCTCGAATAGTGCCGGGGGATTTTTAACATCACGTCCACCTGAACAGGTTTAACGTCTCATCCCAGTTTACTAACGTGCTGCTAGATCTAATGAAGTTCCCATTACAGGACATGAGGACATCAATACTTGATATATCATATAATCGCATTGTGGCCAGTTTGAGAACCATACAACAGTGCCTCGATACCGAATGAACAACAAGTGCCTCACTTGACTATTGCACAATAAAGACATGTGATACTAAGTCATTTGCCTAATCCAAACAACCTGTTTGGATTAGTAATTCCTTTCTGTGCAGAGGACTGAGCACAATAGCGTCAATTAATAACATCCATGTGACTGAATGTTTTACACTTTTACTCCCTCCCTCCCTCCCAAAGGCTCAGCTTTCAGTAAACACAAAACTTCCAGTCCTTCAAATCTCCGCACATATTGCTCAATTGCCTCCCAGAGACTGTGAGTGAAGTCACCGTCCAACTCTTCAAACAACAGCAGCCTCTGCTGGAGACCATCAGACGTCACAGAGGTCATTCAACCTCAATGAACTTGGGAAATCCGCCTTCCACTGGGCAGAATTGCTCAAAAAGCCTGCAGATTCCCCAGGGATCTCCAAACTTCCATGTTCTGCAGAGTCCTGCGGCCTATTGGTCCGATTCCCAGGCAGGGAAGTTTAGGCAAGTTTGCTTACTCCACATGTTTACCTAGAAGCAAGTAGGGATGGTTCAGGGATGGTTGTGTGGGGGGAGGGCATTGCTGTGTGCAATCCGGCTGGCGCATTCGCACTGCACTGCGCTTTGAGACGTTGTCTCAACCGGAATGGTTCTAGGCCAAATGCAAGGATTATGTATTACCAAATTTTGGGTAGTTGGTGCCGTGACCCAAAACCACATCACCAACACACCAACGATGCCCAAACTACAGAGAAATTACGTGCGAGTTTACTCCGGGCTAACATGGAACTCAGAAACTGACTCACGTAAATTTCCTCCAGTTCTCCAAGTGTAAACATGCCGCATAATTACATTTCTAATTGCGATGCGTAAAACAAACCTATTGAAGTAGCCTAATCTACCAGCCGCCCACACTACCGGTTTAGTCAAACCACACAAAAAAAAATCTCAGCCGTCATCTTGAACAAACAGATGAGGTACATTGTTCAAAGCTAAAGAGTTCTGGCAAAGTTAGCCCTCAATTTCCCAAGTCAAACAGGCGAAACCTT